AAATTTCCATTGTTAATATAAATTGCATTATTTTAATTAATAAATATACAATTGCTTTACATTAATGACAGCTACAGTAGGAAACGAAGCCATATAAAGTGAAAGCCATGTATCTTGTAACGCAGTCCAAAATTTAACTAATCTATCAGAATCTGGATTATAAAACTCTGTTATATCTAATCCAGCACAAAACACTTTCTGTAAGCCCTGAAATTAAATATGAATACAAAATAGTTGAACATGTATAATGTATATAACCTAAACAAGTATACATACTGATGTTAATATCATTCCTCGGATTTTATCTTTTTGTAATTTATTAAGCTGAGTATTAATTGCATCTAAAAACTCAAGGTTTAAACTATTAACAGGTGGCTTATTCATTGTCACAGTAGCTATGCCTATAAAAATTAAATTCAAATTTAAAACAAGCCGTTATCTCAGTTTCTGGTTTAATAAGAAGAACAAACCTAATTAAAAAAATAGTTAGATTTATGTAAAAGAAAATTAGAACTAAATTAAATAACGGTACCTGATTTTTCATCAACTGTAGACTGTAACATTGATTGTGAGACATGCCGACAATTGACAAATTTATTGTTAGTGGATAAAATATACCTTCTCAACATGTTAAATTTATTTAGAAAGAAAACTTTAATTGAGGTCAATTAAAATTAATAAAAATTTAAATATTAATGTATAACAAAAAAAAAATACTTAAGAATAAAGACTGTATGATGATACAAAATATTGTTATAAACAAAAATCAATTAAAAATATTAACCAATATTTATTTATTTTTAATTTTGAGCTGAGATCAAAAAAACAAATATTTCATTATTACCCGAACTTCTGGTATTTATATTTACTCTTATTTACATGGTCGGTCACATTGGTAAATATCTTTAAATCAACCTTGGATATATTTTTTAACCTATTAAGTGTTAAACATGCATTTATTTGTTATCACTTATCACTAATTATTCAACAACTGTTTAATGTTATCGCGCAGATTTCTATACATACCCCTATGAATTACTAGTAGTTCATGGCTTCATGCATACCCCATAAGAATAAAGAAGAGTGAAGACTGTCCGACTGTGTGTTATCGACTTATCGTTTACACGGAAACCAACAAGTTATATCTTATATAGGTAGTAAAATGATAAATATTATTTACTAAAATATAACAGCATTACAGCAAGTTACCGAAGTTTCAGTGGCTGATGAATTTATGTCTATCGTTTATTATTATTCAGTACATTTTAATCAACAATTCAACCAGATTGCTTGAAAAAATGTAAAAACTATTAATACTAGATAGGTGACTACCAATAT